GGGCAATCTCTCTTGATATGACCCATATCCCCGCACTCGAAACAACCTCTCCTCTGACGGAACTGCTGCTCCTGATAACCTGAGGAACTGCCTGTAGAAACCTGAGCAGATGAGGCATGGTGAGAAATCTATGCTGGTAGTGTGCTGAATAAAGATTGGCCTGAGCGAGCACTGTAAGAACCGTGGCTAACTGATGTACCACAATGAGCTGGACGAGTCGTCTGAGCGGTCCTATAAGGACGACCCTTACTGTGGTAAGACTGTTCCCCAGAATGAACACCACTGGAACCACCCGAACTTCGAGGCCTCTTGGCCTCCCTCTCCTCACGCTTCTGATTACAAACCATCTCTAGCTGTCGAGCAATATCAACCACCTCGTCAAAAGTAGCACCGGATATCCTATTTCGAGTCATAAGTAATCGCAGCTGATATGTGAGGCCATCAATGAACCTCATAATCCTCTCCCTATCAGTGGGAACCAACCAAACTGCGTGACGAGCCAACTCCAAAAATCTTATCTCGTATTGGGTCACAAACATGCCATCCTGACGAAGTTGCTCAAACTATTTGCACAGCTCCTCCCTGCGAGACTGTGGCACGAACTTCTCCAAGAAGAGAACGGAGAACTCATGTCATGAAAGTGGTGTTGCACTGACTGGCTTGCGCCTCTCATAGGCCTCCCACCATCTGAAGGCAGCCCCAGTAAACTGAAAAGTAGTGAATGAGACCCTATTAGTCTCCAGAATACCCGTTGTGCGAAGAATCCGCTGGAACTTGTCCAAAAAGTCCTGGGCATCCTCAGACTCAACCCCACTAAATGATGGAGGCTAGAGCCTCCCAAATCTCTCTAGTCTCCTCTGCTCATCATCAGTCATAACGGGACCCATCTGAGCCAGAGCAACTGCAACCAATTGGGCTAGTAGTAGCCCCGGTGTCTGAAGTCCTTGCATCACGTGCTCTGGAGTACGGGCGGTGGGGGTATGAGTACCTCTCCCGGTCTGAGAAGTGACTGGTGCGCCATGAGCCAAAACTACCTGAGCAAGGCCAGTGCAAACAGTCAATATCTAGGCCAAAGAATCCTGAAGACCTGGAATCACAATGGGCGCAGATGGTGCCTGAGTTGGCCCCGCTGGCTCAACCACATTCGGAACCTGCTCCTGAGTTGGAGCAACTGGTGGATCTGCAAGTGCTGCTCTAGCTGATGTACAAGTTGTACCTCTGCCCCTACAGCGGCCCCTACCGCGACCTCGGCCTCTCATGGCCCTAGCTGGTGGTACTGGTGGTTGGCTGTCCTGTCAGATAGCACGTGTCCTCACCATCTGTGAGAGAATAGAACAAAAGAAATTTAGTGACCGGAATCAACAAATTCGCACGACAAGAATACAAGAATGTGAAGTTTCCTAAGGGTTCGACAGTCTCTCAAAGATAAGTACAGACGTCTACTAAACCTGCTCATGACTCGTGAGACCTATGTAACCTAGGATATGATACCAACTTATCACGACCCAAAACCAACCCGTCGTGATGGCGCTTATCGTAGTACTAGGAAAGCCAATTTCTCAAGCATTCCCAACACTTTAAATCTTTGAAAGATACGAAAACAGTTTAATTAAAATAAAATCTTTTAAAACAGGATAGGAAGTCACAACTCAATACATAATCTCTCCCAAGATCGGAGTGTCACCGAGTACATGAGCATCTATACATAGCAACAAAAGAGACTGATACACGGTCTGGAAAGTAAAACTAAATACATAAACTGAAAGATAGGGAAAGGAGGATCAAGGTCTGCGGACGCCAAGCAGCTACCTCGATGATCTCCGAACAGATAGACTCTACAATCAACAACTGCCGTGCCCGGATACGCCTGGATCTGCATACGAGGTGCAAGGTGTAGTGTGAGTACAACCAACTCAATAAGTATCGCAAATAAATAAGGCAAGGTAAGAGAAGCTTAATTTGTTGAGGTCACTAGGTAAATTAGTACAATTCTGCCATTTTTGATTAACATAGTATAAGTTTTAAAGTAGCTCATAAGGCTTCGTGGTACGGATATCTATGTGTACATGTGAACTGGTTTTTCAAATACCCTACTCAGCAGTATTATGGCATGTAGAGGAAAGAAACAAGTAAATCAGATAAATAATCAAGAAGATAAGACTTTCACACACTGCACGGATGACTCACTTGCTAACAATAGAATCTGAACGGACAACTCAGTGCGACACGGACAACTCACGTGTCAATAATATGAATATCCATGGACTACTCACGTGCCAATAATATCAATACATGGATCCGCACGGACAACTCACGTGTTGCAAAGACAACTCATGTGCCAATAACATNATATATATAATATTCTCATATCCTTGGACTAGTGTAAATAGCATGCTAAAGTGTAGGCATGTGCAAAGTGTGCTATTATAGCTCAATTTTGGCAATTTCTTCAATGAAAGACATTTATCAAGTTCGCTTAGGGATTAAACCTCTATGTGGGCTCATCATGACTCAATTAGATCACATAAAATGTTACCACATATTAGATATCGAAGCTCGAAACTTAACGGTCATTTCTGGGCTTATAGGAGCCCTGAGCACAACCCAAATATGAATATAAAATTCTGGTGCCCGCACTTGGGATCATCCCCATGCATGTGCGCACCCAAAAGTATGTGGCTACCACAACAATTCAGGCAACCGGTGCCTCAATCGAGTTTAAATACGATACTTACCTCAAGTAACTCGAATCACTCTGCTAGCAAGCCCTTGCCTCACGAATCGGCCTCCGAATGTCCCGAATCTAACTATAAGCAATTCGATACAATCAACACGAGCTAAAGGAATCAATTCCATAAGAAAACACTAGGTTCCGAATCAAATTCAAAAAGTCAATTCAAAAACCGGCCCCCGGGACCACGTCTCGGAATCTGGTAAAAGTTACTAAATCCGGAAGCCCATTCAACCACGAGTCCAACCATACCAAATTCACCAAAATTCAATACCAAATCGACACCCAAATCCCCAATTAAAACTCTCCAAATCCCTAGCCTCAAACCCCAAATTACACCTTAAAACCACACAATATAGGTGGGAAAATCAATGGGGAAATAAGATTATCGAACAAAAATGAGCACAAGTGACTTACCTCAAGAAACCTCTCGAAAATCTTCTAAAAAATCGCCCAATCCCGAGCTTGAAATGGTGAAAAGCACGAAACCCTCGTTTTTAATACACTGCCCAGGCCTTCTCGCACCTGCAGCCACTTATCCGCTTTTACGGTGTCGCAGAAGCGACCCTTTTCCCACTTCTGCGGTTTCCTCCGCTCCCGCGGTCCATGATTCCGCTCCTGCGGACTCACTTTTGCGAGCCATAAAGCCGCTTATGCGGACCCAACTCCCACTCCCATTTCCGCTTCTGCGCTCCAATCGCCGCATCTGCGGCCACACAGGTGCGGTAATTCCCTCGCACCTGCGACCACTGCACACTCCCCTCCAAAATCGCATTTGCGCAACACAGCTCGCACATGCGACCAATGTTTCGCAGGTGCGATTGCACCAAAAGGCTTCAGCTATAGCAGTCTTTTAAACTCAAATTTTGATCCAAAAACTATCCGAACTCCACCCGAGGCCCCCGGGACCTCAACCAAACATACCATCAAGTCCTAAAACACGATACGAACTTAGTCGAGCCTTCAAATCATACCAAACAATATCAAAAATACGAATCACATCCCCTATTCAAGCCTAATAGAACCAAGGAAATCAAATTTCTACAAAAGACGTCGAAACCTATCAAATCACGTCTGATTGACCCCACATTTTGCACACAAGTCACAAATGACACCACAGACCTACTCCAACTCCCGGAACTCTAATCCGACCCCGGTAACCACAAAGTCCACTCTCTGTCAAACTTTTAAATTTTTAACTTTTGCCATTTCAAACCTAATTCAACTATAGACCTCCAAATCACAATCCGGACACGCTCTTAAGTCCAAAATCACCCAACAGAGCTAATAGAACCATCAAAACTCCATTCTGGAGTCGTTTACACATAACCCGTTTGGCCAAGCTGGAAAAATAAGCTTATTTTGAGAAGTGCTTTTTTCAAAAATACTTTTGGTGAGAAGCAGTTTGTGTTTGGCTAATTAATTTAGAAAGTACTTCTAAGCAGCAATTAGTGTTTGGTCAAGCATTTAAAAAGTGCTTCTAAGTGTATTTTTCTCAAAAGTGCTTCTAAAAAAAGTGCTTATGGAAAGAAGCTACTTTTTTCTGCTTCTCCAAAACCACTTCTGCTACTCCTCAGAAGCACTTTTTTTCTCCTAAAAGCTTGGCCAAACACTTCAAATTTGGAAAAAAAGCATTCGAACTTGGAGAACCTTGGCCAAACAGGCTATAAGTGTCTCAATTCATTCCGAAACCTCACCGGACTCGAACCAACTACCCCAGTAAGTCACATAGCAGTTATAAAATACAAAATGAGTAGTAACTGGGGGAACGGGGCTACAACTCTCAAAACGACCGGCTGGGTCGTTACAATTATCTTATTTGTGTAATATGAGATGGTTTGTTTTCAGAAATGCAATACTATATGTCTTCATTTGTTTTTCCTTTCTTGTAAAGTGAATGTAAACAAGGACATGTTTAATTGGAATTTAGCATAAAGTACAATCACAATTAAAGCTAAAAATAACATATTGTATTAGATCCTACTTTGGTCAAAATAGCCATCAGAGAGTAATACACCACGAATAACTACATCGATAACTTGGTACAAATCATAAGTTAATATAGTTATATAAACATACTTCTAAGGGAATTTATATGAGAAGGTTCTCGAACCGGATATAGATATATCATATATATATATTGGGAAATATAGTACGGGAATTTTGGAGACTTCATATAGTTAAGTAGATAAGAGCAAAAACATGATAGTTGAGGGGATTTTAGTATTCACTCTAAATTTAATCTAATTAAGAAAATAGTTAAGCAACCAATATGGGCAGTTTCAAAATTGGATTAACCAGTAGAATAGCCTGGAACTATCAAATGACTGCTCTACCATTAGGTGAGGTTATCAAAATGCTCCAAAAATGGTCAAATTAATCATGGAATGTTCCTGAAACTTCACGAGGGAACGCATTCGCATTTCGTTTTCACCAAAAAGCCCTCGCTTATTTTCCCTCCCAAAAACAATGTTTCCTTCTTCTCATTTCAATTTCAGTATCATATCTATAATCCATTCGTGATTATATTTACAAAAAGTAGTCAATATCTTCAGAGAATTTTGTCCTAGAAAAGAAAGATAGGTTTTGGAGTGCGACCGAAACGAAAAAAAGGGGAGAAATGTCACCAATAGTGGCTCCCTCTGCGGCGGCCAAACAAGCGGAACAACTGAAGCAAGATGGCAATAATTACTTCCAGAAAAATCGATTTGGAGCTGCCATCGATGCCTACACCGAGGTGAGAGAGCTCTTTTTGGCTTTTTAATCTTGCTTATCATCCATTTATTTTCTTAATTTCTGAACGGATTTTATAGGCTATTACATTGTGCCCTAATGTTCCCATATATTGGACCAATCGTGCTTTGTGCCATCGGAAACGCAAGTAGGTGCTCACAATCTTTTTGATTTTTAGTGATATCTTATGAATATTCATTTGTCATCGTCATTTTTGGTTTATAGTGAGTGGACCAGAGTAGAGGAAGATTGTAGGGAGGCTATTCAGCTCGATCACACTTCTGTTAAGGTCTGTCTACTTGTACTATTTATGAATTTCACATTGGTGTTTTCATCCAGGGGTGGCTTAACAATGTTAGTGGCCTAAAGCAAAATTTTGTCGAGAGTTTTTTTTTTTTTTTTTTTTTTTTTTTTTTTTGAAAAAAAAGTGAAATAGTAAAAAGTTCTAGCTTTTATATATGAATTCATGTGTAACTATGTTGCGGGGACTCTCCAAAACAGCCGCCGCACCCGTGTCGAATCCTCCAAAAATATACTATTTTTGGAAGATCTGATACGTACTCATAGACATATTCGGACAGTCCGAGCAATATAGATATGGGGTATATTTTATTTAAAGTCTATTTTTCTAGCTTTTTGAGATGAAAAGTTGTTAACAAATTTTTAATCAATTTTTTCTAATATTTTTTTTATCAATTTGACAACATAGCTAATCAATTACATGGCTAAAAAGTTCTCTTTTCATTTTTATGAAAATCTTGTTTCTTCACCTTAAAATATTAAGTAAATTTTGAAGAAAATTAACTAAAGAACCTACTACTAATAAAAAAAAAAGGAGCCCCAAAATTTGGGGCCCTAAAGCCATTGCCTAAGGCTTTGGCCTTCAGCCGACAATGTTTTTATCTAATCGCTCCATCAACATTCATATTTCCTTTTGCCATTTTTTCTAATGTGTGATGATTATAATAACTAGCTTGAATCATGCTGCAAATTTGCTGAAATAGGAAAGGAGAGGGAAAGAGGTTGTTTGCAAGAAGTCTTATAGCCTGTTTGGCCAAGCTGGAGAAATCAACTTATTTTCAGAAATGCTTTTTTCAAAAGTGCTTTTGAAAAAATTACTTTTGGAGAGAGCAGTTTGTGTTTCGCAAATCACTTTGAAAAACACTTTTAAGCAATAATTTGTGTTTGGCCAAGCTTTTCAGAAAGTGCTTTTAAGTATCAAATTACGAATAAGGACATGAATAGATTTACTTAATAGTTAATATTATAAGTAAATAAATAATCTTAAAATTTGTTATTACAGGCAATAATTAAATCTTTTCATTTTATTTAAGTAAAATATGAAAATAAAATTTAAAAGTACTTAATTCTTTTAATATAAGTTAAATATATTAAAAATTATTCAACAAATATAAAAGCATTCACCCCTAAAGTCACTATATATTAGAAAACTATCCTAAAAATAATAAGAAATATTTATACATTAATATCCTAAGTATTAGGTTTAATGGTTATTTTGGTATATATTTTATTAAGGGTATTTTTGGTAAGAAGAAAAGTCAAAACTGTTTTTGCTTCTGCTTTTGGGAAGAAGCTATTTTTTTCTGCTTCTCAGAAACTACTTCTGCTTCTTCCCAAAAGCACTTTTTTTCCCCAAAAAAGCTTGGCCAAACACCTCTAAGTTAGGAAAAAAAAGTGCTTTTGAGAAAAAAAAGCACTTTTGGCCTCTTGAGAAGCTTGGCCAAACATGCTATTAGTTTGAGCATTAGTTGCTTGTAATGAGCATTTCTTGCCATTTGTCAAAAACCAGTCATGTATTACATAGCAATCATGCATTACCTGTTATATGTTCGATGTATTTCTTAGTTTAAGCAGCAGGTTTTAACTGCTTATAGAATCAATTGACTTGACATTCATTTTTTCAAGCAGGCTTTTCTTGTGCTTCTCTTCCTCCTGGCATTATTACTTGTCTTTCTTGTTTTTACTTAATCAATCTTCATGCATTTAATTTGTATTCAGATTTATAGTAAATTTCTATATTATTGCTCATTTCTTGTGTGTTAGACTTTTTACATAATGAAAGTTAGTAGGCTTATTTGGTGGAAGACTAGATTTCTGAACCGTTTATGGTTTCCAATGTATTAGTTTCAGACTCTTTCTACGTTGCCTTCTCAAATTTCAGACTCTTTCTGAAACTGAGTTGTGCGTGCCATCTTTGCGCAAGGGCAAATCCAATCCTCTTTTTCTTTTTCAAATTTTATTGGATGTCCCTGGAAGAATGATTCTTTCTGACTTATTTAACTCAATTTCATGAATGGCAGTTTTACCTTTATGCTTTGATTTAAGTAATTACTCCAGCCAGTACATTTTATGTAGCACCATTTCTTTATTAATCCTTTTCAAAAAGAATGACACCTTTCTGTATTTGAAAAGAAAGTAATTTTTAACTTTCCATTTTATCCTTAATGGCATGCTTTTATAGCAACAAAATCTCATTGCAGGTTTAAGACCGCAAGCTCGAAAAGTCTTGTTTTCTTTCTTAAACTCCGTGTCCAATCAAAGTACATCACATAACTTGAAACAGAGGCGTATATAGAATTTAGGATTATAGTGCTTTGCATAGATCCTTTAACCTTTCACCTAAAGTATAGTGCCACACTAATTATTCTATTAGAAACCAAACATAGCATCTTTCTTGTTACTACTGGTTGATCATCAGTGGTAATATATTTCAGGAGTGCCTTTTTTAAGCTTTCCTAGAAATAGCTACTCCCTTTGTTTCAATTTGTTGGAACGTTTTCGAAGTACATGGGTCAAATTAACTAATTTTCGGTCTGAATTCGGGCATAGATTCTTTAAGTTTTTTGAAATAAAATTTACATATTTTTACATAAAAAGTACTATATGTCACAATAGATAAATTCAAAATATTTAAATACTATTTGCAAAAAACATGGTAAAAGAAAACCTTGTTTGACTCCCAAATAGTAAAAGATTCATTCTATTTGAAACGGAGGGAGTATTAGACAAAGAACAAGGAATAGATGGAGAAATCTTTTGCAAGGATTATACTAATTTATGTGTTTGAAGATTTGTTTTTTTTTTCTTTCTGGAAGGTGGATTGTATTTGCTCAGTTTTACATTTCAAATGCACATAATACGAATCTGTTGCTGGAATGCAATTTAAGAAACCTGAGATGTGAAACTGGGAAAAGGTGAGAATACCAAATTAAGTAATTGACTAAGTTGGCTTTCAAAGGAGAGGTTGTTGCAGCTTGAATAAAGTCAGTATTAGAGTAGGTTGTGATCACCTAGATGATGAAAGCTGAAACTAATGATAAACTTATTGATCCCACTACGGCATTGAAAATTTCCATGAGAAAGATCAACAAATTTTTTATGTGAAGCTAAGTAGCTGATAGTTAAATCGAAAGAGTGTATCTAATTCCAGGAGAATTACAAAATACTGCTCCAGGGGTTAGCTCAATTGGCAAAGGTTGAGGGACTTGTGTCTTAGGTCACATGTTCAAGCTCTGCACCAAGCGAACTAACTCTGATACTTAAGCGGAGAAGAGTAGAGTGGCGGGCCCATCATCCCGATTTTAGAAGGCTGTGGTTGGCCTCGGCTCCAGATGAATTTCTTGGTCATAAGAAAAAAAAAATTAATAACAAACTATCACTCTGCCAGGGGGAAACTTCATTTATTTAGTCCAATAAATATAAAATTAGACCAAGAAACTAAAGTTGCTAATTGGTTGAAGGAGAGCTTGGGAAACAAGTTAAAGAACTATACTCTTGTCATCCAAATGACTACAAGTATGTTCTGACTTGAGTAGGAAAAAACATCTCTACTTCTAGAAAACAAGTAAAGAGTCTGGCATATCTTATTTTAATGTTTTGTCAAATAACAGCCAACTTGTAGTGACATTTCAGTTGCTCTTATTTTTGTTCCCAATAATTACTAGAGAAAGTAGAAATTGTTCCATCAATTTGTGCACTCTTTCATGGATAAAAATTGGCTATAGACATCTTCTCGTATTTGTATATTTACTAGTTTGGATGAGTAATTTATTTTCTTCAGTAGATATTACTCAACTGTTTGTTTCTATCTTTTTGTGTATTCTATTATTGGAAGTCTAATGAATCTTCTTAGGCATCATAGTGCTTGGGCTGATTAAGATTTTTTTTACATTTATATTCAACTTTTGATGCTCATGAATAATTATTCTTAATTCTCCTAGAAGCTGTCTGTTCATTGGATTATTCATTATGGAACTTTACCTTCTAAATTTTTTTTTTTTTTAGAGAATGGAACTAAATTATCACGATATTTGTCGGAGACAATAGATAATATTGTTGTCAAGCTGATGTCTTCCTACTAATTTAATTTAATATAGTAACCTTAAAATGTATCTGATCAAACCAAATATAATTATCAAAATCCAGAACTTCCACTATCAATATACTTTGATTTTTATTTATAAGTAAGAATTTTTTTTTTAAATAATGTCTTGGGTAAAAGTCTATTATCTTTGCATATAAATTTAATAACAGTAGTATGGGCTACACTTGCGAGGCACGTGACATAGAGACTAATATATATAT